TGGAGAGCAGCTAGCAAGGCAGTGAGGACAGGCCACATCCTCGAGAGAGTGAATCAGCAGGGCAACGTGGACTTTCACAAGCTTTGCCTCAGCTGAGGCTGTGGCTGCTTGCAGAGAGGGAGGGGAGGAGGTGAAGGATGCTGCCGTGGGCAGATGCTGCATGTGGGTCCCCTGTCCACAGTGCTTCGTAACAACACCGTGAGTGGGACCCCAGTGGTGCTGGGTTCTTTTGGGGGCAAGCTCCTTAAAAGTGACCCTCAAGCCCAAGCGCTGCTTTGCTCTTTCCTCTGCTACTTGTTTGGATGGGCACATTGCTGTAACGTTTATGGTGGGAAGCCTGTTGAGAAGCGTGCCTCGGATGAAAGGAAGCTTATGAGCTTATGTCTTGCTAATTTTGATGTGCATGGTTCACACAGCCCTTGGTTTCCTTTTCTGTGCATTTTAACTCGTCTCCCCAGCTGTCTGGTTACACCTTCCCCTCCCCCCTCCCTGCCTGCTTTGTAGGCAGAAACCAGGGAAAGATCTCTTATTCCCAGTGAGCCTGGATATTTCAGATCCCACAGCAAAGACCTCGGCTAGTGCCTGCTCAGCCTTTGTTTCCAAGGAAAAGAAGTGGCATTTTCCACCCCAAGAGCTTGCATTAGGGATCCTCTAAGATGAGCAAAGCAATCTTGAACAGCCAAACAGTTGTTAGCCCAAAGTCTGGGCCATTGCTGTGGGACCATGACACCTTGCATGGCTTGGAGAGGAATGGGGTCATAAGAGGGGCCAAGGCCATACATTTATATAATGTCTGTTCCTTTAATTTGTGGATGGAAATTTGCCTGTAGAGGTATGCAAGTATGCAAGTAAGGCGTGATGGCTGACAGTTTTCACCAACTGTTCCGACATTTAAGGCCTTTTTAAATCTATCCTCTCCATCCCTTGAAAAGAGATACAAGCCTCTCTCTTCCTACTGTTTTCTATTCCACTCATTCCCTAGGCACTCCCTTGAGGCCTATGTCTCAGATTTATTTCATCTATTTTTTAAGAAGAACAAGGGGCAGGTGGTGCCTGCAGAAGCTGAAAGAGAAAAGATGGACATATCTAGCACATGCCAAGAAAACAAACATGAAATCTCTGGAGCCACCCGATCCTCTGGAACACTGAGCATCTTGCCACTTTTTTCTCCTTGATGCGCTTATTTTTATGAGCTCAAAGAATAAAGTATTGGATGTTACACAGCAGCTGCCCCAGGAAATAATTCACTCATTCCATTGCTGCAGACTTCAAGGGAAAAAAAAGAGCAGTGAAGAGGGGGGAAAAAGCCAGTTCCTTTGCAAAATATCCAGTTTCCCAGCAGCTCTAACAGCATAAATGAGAAGAATGTTTGGGTTTGGTGTCCCTCCAATTCTCATGGCTTCACAGAGGATTTTGGAGAATGCATTTACTCCTTTGCTAACTGCAAGAACAGATTTATCCTGCAGCCATGTGCTGAATGAGTATACAGGCCTAAAAGGAGTCTGAAAGCATAAACATTTACTTCATAAAAGAGATTCTGCAGACAGGAGGCCAGAGACAGTTGACTCTGGGTAAGCATTTTGCTCCATTGTAAAAAAAAAGTCCAGCAGCCAGAAGGAGACGTGCACACATTTCACACACCGGCCTTTGCCACAGTGGACAGTGATCCAAAGGGACCCAGGAATAGTCTGTCTCTTGACTGAGCCCAAAATGCAGAGGTACCAGCATTTTCATCTTTACTGCAGACACGAAATCAGCCCCAGCTCCGTCTCTCACTGTGCAGTGCCTCGCCTGGACTTGTGTGGGGAAATGAAAAATAGCTCCATAACCAGGGAAAACCCTGGAGCTTTGTGTCTCCCATCCAGATGCTGTAAGGAGATACAAGCTCATACTTTAGCCTTTCCCACAACAGGAATATCAATGAGGACTTGTCTCCTCTTTACCTGGCTGTTTATTTTCACAAAACTTGTTAAGAGAGTACAAAGTTGCTGAGATCTCCACCCTCCTGATGAATTTGATTGAAATCTGCCAAATCTTGGAAGATGTTGTCAAGGACTTTATTTCACACATATGTGAAGCAAGACCCCATGAGCCTTGATCTCTTGAGAAGCCAGGCTGCAAGCTCAGCAGAAGGGAAGCACTATTCCAAGGAGAATGCTGTCACACTGGCAGTCTGAGAGAGGTTCACCAGCCACCCAGCAACCTGCAGGCATGCATGGAATTTTAGGAGTAACATGTACCCCACTAGCTTTGAGTGACCTGCATTGTTTTCCAATAAGTGGCAGCATTTTGTGATTTTTCATTTCAAATCCCAATGTGGAGCAAAGGACCAAAGTAAGAGTTGCACACAAAATGAAACATCCTGCATACTATTTATATTTTTCCTTAAAAATTAATATTTAGGAGCTTCAGCCCTATCTGCCAGGAAAACTAAGCACAGATGAAATTTAAAGAGGATGTAGCAAACACTTCTGCACCATCCTCCCAGCCAGGAGCTTGCCCAGGATGGAGGGGTCTGAACCACAGCTGGGCAGCACACCACCAGATCACTGCACCACACAGCTCCTTGGCCAGTGACAATCCTCAAGCAGAGCATCTTGCCTGCATAGGAAAGAAAAATTTCTGAGAAAACTTCTGGCATTTGTTTTTCATTCCATGGTGTAGAACTGATGGAGTTGTTCTTGGTCTAGACAATTGTCAATGTTTTTGGTTTTCCCTATCTAATGTAAAAGCTGCTTGGCTGTTCAGACTACAGCTCCTGGCACTGAGGAAGAGAGTTAAGGAGCCCACCCACCAAGAATGTTTTTCCTCTGCTACCTGCCAGGGTCTGACTATATGGGGACTGGGGGCACAGAGTAGCAAGTCTTTTAACTGTTCACCAGTCTGCTTTTCCCTAAACATGTGTAGATATATTTGGTGGGCTGTTTTGAGTCCTTAACCACCAACACATCTGTATTTGTAGAGGAAAGCCACCAGGTTTAAAGGCAGTAGATTTGGTTTGGGACTTGGACCATGAGATCCTTTGTAAGACCGAGACTTTCCAGCTCCCAGGTGATGAAAAAGAGTGGTTGATCTCAAATGCTGCTCTATCTCAACAAATTCCCAAGTCATTTGAAGGACAGTCACAACCTCTGCACTGGATAGGTTGCTGAAGGGCAGATGAACCATCAGCATTATCATTACTTCTATACAAAACTGAGCTGTTGAATCAGTGCTCTTCAGCAGCACCTCTCCCCTTTGCCTTTTCAGATCTCCTCAGTTTTCCATGTAGATGAAGGAAAAAGGGTGCAAATTCCAGGCTTGATGGTAGAAAGGCTCCCTGCATAGAGGATGCACATAGGAAGCAAGGGGGAAACTAATCTTCCTACATGCCTGCCGCTATCAGTGAAGATAGGCCAGCACTTCTTGAGGGCATTTCAAAAGAGAAGCTTCACAGAGGAGCTCTGAACTATTCCCTGAAGGATCCTCTTTCTCTTTGCCAGGTAGCCTGAGGCTTGCCTTTGTGGAAACCTCTTTAGATCCAGTTTCTTGGGGCTGACACTGAGGTTTGCTGTCAAGCCAAGAAAATCTTCCTTCATCTGCTTCTACTCAAGCAGCCCCAAACCCGCCCCAAAGGCAATGAATAGCAGCATCCTCTGTTGTAAAGGCCTAAAACCTGGATCAGCACCAATAATTTAAAGTCATAAAGAAGGATCATCCTACTTGATGAAGCAGGCCTACAGCCCAAGGAAGTTGTGAAATCTCCATCCTTGGAGACATGCAGAATGTGCCTGAGCAAGGCCCTGAAAAATCCGATCTCCCTGTGAAGCTCTGAGCAGGATTTTGGACAAGAGACCTCCAGAGCTTCCTTGTATGCCACAGTGTAGACTTTAGCAAGAAGCTCTAAGGAAGCAGAGCACCATATGGCACACCCTCCTCCCCATGGACAGAGGGCAAGAACAGAACAGCACAGGACAGGTAGTGGCGGTATATAACACACCTAAGGAAGGCATCAGTCAGCTACTGCAGAGATGTGTGCAAGGTGAAACCTGCCTAAAGCAGAGCCCTTAACCAAACAGCCCTCTGCTCTCAGCACTTTCTGCAGCCTCCATGGCTGCTGTTGAAATGAAGGCTGCTATCTCGGATAACTACTGGTTCACAAGCTGTCATGTGGCCAGCAGTGAGTCTGGGGACTTAAAATAGGCAAGAATATGCAAGACCTGAAAAGAAAATGGTCCTCATGGGGCTGTCACTCTCCAACAGTTAGCTCTGAAAATTATTAATTTCAGGATTCCCAGGTTTACAAGCACCAGGCTTCATGGTTATTTTCAGTCACTGCCAAAATAAAACTCAGTTTCCACATGCATACATTTTCCTCATGCTCTCTCCCCTACTGGCCTCATCAACATTTTTTATCAGGAAACTCATTATTTATACTCTTCTGGCGAGGACATTATATTTCATCAGTGTTGCCAGCAATGCCAATTTCCCTCCTTACAGTTCTATGCTAAACTGTTTTCATTTCTCTCGCCTTGTATTTCTCAGTAAACCAATAAAGCACAAATTCTAAGCCTTCTAGTTTCCCTCTTTTCCCTCCCATAATAGTCATTGATGTCTAACCACAGACGTCTGTGCTTCTTTTCAATAACTGCATGCAGTTGCCTATAAAATATGCACATGATAGCACAGGGAAATTCCACACACATTTTCTCCATCTGAAGATATACTGGTTCATACGTTACATTTATATTGGGTCTGGATCATGTCCTGCTATCATTCTGCAGGGAGAAATCCCAAGGCAGTCAACAGAGGCTTTTCAAGCAGATAAATGACAGAACTTGGCCCTACAAGCGGAATATTGTATGATATATTTCCTTTTCTGTTTGCCAAATTGATGTTAAGAAGGGGTTATGCACTTAGACAGTCATCATAAGTTTCAGAAATGATCAGCAGACATTTTTACTGAAACCCCAGAAAACAGAGCAATTAATCAGAATATCACTGCTTTTTCTATGAAGTTGCAGTTGCTTTTATTTTACTGGCATTGCATCACATAGCAGTTTTTCCACCATGGGAGCTTTGAGGTCACTATTAATTTATGGGGGGAAACCTTTTTTACTCTGGGTTTTTTGAAAATACACAAACAAGCACCACTCAGACATGACATAACCACAGATCCAAGCCCCTCTCAGGTTCCAGTGTCCCCTGTGGTCCCCACCAGATGTGCTGCACCCATGGAGAATGACCAGGGATGATGCAAGCACATCGTGGAACAAGCTGTTCCACGAGGGCAGGTGGGCTGAAACAAAAGGCAAATAAGATTGACACTTTGATGTATGCATGCTCTGTGGAGGAGCAAAGTCAAATTAACAGCCTGAGCTCCCCAACAGCAATGGCATTGAAGGGGAATATTAATGCAGTTACCACATCTGCATCTCATTTTGCTTCAGTGTTTCCTAGTCATACTGAGCTCACCCACTGGAGAGTGACACAACAGCATGAGCTGATGGGAAAGTGTCTTGAGATGTATTATGAGGAAAAAATATGCAGAATTCACAAATACAGCAGGGACAGAGGGAGGTAAGCTGACCAAACCCTGCATTTTCCATTTATGAAAGATGAGCTGAGGCATTTTTAGGACACCTCCTGTCTCACACATGCCTGAAACAGCAGCATTGCCAGGCCCAGTCCTTAGCCATGCTCCTCTGTTACAGTCTGGCATTGTTTCTGTGGGCTTGCTGTGGCACAGAGATACACACAAGCACCTCCTGCCATGGGGTTAAAGTGCTAAAGGACATCATTAGCCCCTGTGGAGGGTCCCAAAGTGGGCACTGCTCACACGCCTGCACAGCACCCAGCGAGCGTCCCTGCATGGTCCAGCACCAGCACAGCACTTCCACCAGCTCCTTTGGGCATCTCCTGGAAGACATCCACATAGACAAGTTCTGTGCCTTCAGGTAGGATTGAAATGGAGAGGACTGAAGCCACCTTATTCTAAATGACTGGAGCTCAGTGCTCCTTAGATTCATGGTGATGGGTGAATTGCCTTTACTTGCTTGAGGGCATCTGTGCTATCAGGCCCTAAGTCTGTGTGTGTCAAAAGTTCACAAGTGGTGACCCAATTACCTGTCTGTAGCAGTGGGGCTGTGGTATCTGGCAGGCAGATCATGCAATACCTTAGCACTTAGGTCAAGGCACTAAGCCTTCTTGAATTGCATGAGATGTATCTGGTTTCATAGAGAAGTCAGGGACGAAAAATTAACTGCAGTGCTGGAGGTAATCTAGGGAGTTTTAAAGATTTCTGTTGGATTTTATCAGACTCAACATTATGTCTGCTTGAGTTGCAATTAACAGCAAAGCTGCCACTGAGTTTGAGAGGGCAGGTCCATGGAAATGTGAAAAAAGCATCAAGTCTTATTTCCTAGCCTATTTCCCCTACCACTTAGAAGCACATGGAAAGAAATGGTGCTGGATCTGAGGAAATGACAAGCTTGTGGTCCCAGTGCAAGTGAGAGGGGTATTGTCTTTTCTGCCCCCAAGGGGGGCACCATAGCAGCCCATCATAGCTACCTGTCCATGTTGGGAATGAGCCCCAACAGGAACCCCAAATCCTACTCCACATCAGCAATTCCCCTGCGCTGTGGGAAATCTCACAGTCAGATCTAATTTGTGCTTGAGCATGCTGGCATGGGTCCACCTACATTGGGAAGCAATGTTGCTTTCAGAAAGTGACACTTCACACCATCCTCCACTACTGGCATCCTTCATCTGGCAGTTCTGGCTCCCCCCAGAAAGGGGGGAAGAAGACCATCAAGGACCTCTCCAAGAGCAGATACAGCCAGTGCTGATTTGCAGCCTGCCTGTGTCACCAGCCTGCAAGTGCCACTGGTACATTTGTTCAAATTGTGGCTGCAGACCTGCCTGCCCCCAGCATTTTGCCCTCAAGAAGCAGGGTGCAGCTCTCCCAGGTGGGTGGGGGCCACACTCAGAAGTGGTGCCTGGGGCTGCATCTGAATGTGAGGTCAGGTACAGTTTGCACCACAGCAGGAGTCAGACGATGCCAGTCTAAAACCCAGTCTAAAATATCTTTGTTGGTAGTTAAACAAAACTGGTAGCTCTGCAGCTTGCTTTTTTCCTCTTCGTGCTTTTCAGTAGAGGGAGAGAGAGGTGCCACACAAAGATTATGAGTGACAGGTTGATACAATGACTAAACATCTTTGGCTTGTTTTCATTGTTAGACCAACTAAGCATAGCCAGCACATAATAAATCTGAGCTGCAATTAAAGATCTGCAGCATTTTTACTAGATGGAAGTTCAAATTCCCAAACCTAATTCCTGTTCCTAGCCTTTGGTATCATTTTAGGGGTGTGACATTTTATTCTTCCCTTTTTTATCACAGATGACAGTGATCAGATGGCTGTCTTGCCACATGGCAGCATGAACCTCAATAGCAACAGCAGCAGCTCTGTCACTCACTTAAGGGGTCTGTAGGTTTTGATCCTGGTGGCTCCAAACATAGATTATCCTAAGCCTGAAGGCTGGTCTAAGCTCTGTCTGGAGCTCAGAAAGTTGGCCTGTCAAATGACAAAATACCCCTTAGCTCCATTCCTGGTGATTTATTCAAAGTGCAAGAGTAGCTTTTTATAAGTTTTAAATCCTTATGCAAGGGAAATTAGCCATTGTTTTCCTTCAGGGTCCCAGATTCACAACTATTAGCATTCAAAAATAAAATAAAGTTATGGCCAGCTGTAAAAATACTAGCTAAAGAAGTTGCAGATGTTCCTGGGGGAGCTACTGGAATATTTTGGCACCTTTGCTCTGTCATTAAAAGAAAAATGCGATCGTTGGTTAGGGCTGAAGTGAGAGTTCAAGTGGACAGAGAAAAACAGGAGAGCATTTCACAGCGCTAATAGTGAAAGTGGGTTCAGCCCTGCAAAACGTTCACATAAGCACTGGCAGGACTCCTGCTCCCAAACCCCCTGCTTTACCCTGACTGTGGCATTGAGGTCCTGGAGCATCAGCGGATGGCTGCAGAGAAGTCAGGATGGCACTGACTGCACAGACAGTCCCGAGCATGGCTAGGGACAGCTTAAAACAGGGCTTGGCACAGGATAAGGGATCACAGCAGGCAGGGAAAATGGTCTGACAAACACACTGCTATGGGTAAACTATTGCTATCAACTCAACTTCTTCAACATAGCTCAACTATCTCCACAAGGCACTACCCCACTTCAAGTTAGTTCCAATATTGACAATGGGGATATAGCCTGAAACTCAAAAGAGGCCAAATACCTTATAAAAATACAAATAGGGGCCCCCTCAGGCACCCTTGAAATGTTTATTCCTAAGAGCACAGGCCTAGGCCATTGTGCATTTTGCAGAAAAGAGTAAATTGCTCTGCCTAAGGCCAGCCAGGAGGAAGCTTCATTCCAAGAGTGAATAGTTCCCGCCTCCAAATTCTTACATCTTTCTCTGCCTGATTCTTTCTGGCTCATCTCTGGTTTTCCTCTTCTTTCCAGATGCTGTGGGGAAACTCTAAGGATTGCAGGATTCTGCCCTAATTCATCCTGGGGGAAAGAAACAAGATACATAGCCAAGCTGGTGAGGAAGATGCAATTAAAGTAAGTCATATGGCCCAGAGATAAAGAGGTGAGTCAATCAGTCACTGTGTGACACGGTAGCACTGGAGAAAAAAATGGGACTTACCCACTCATAAAAGCCTGCCTTGGAAAAGGAGGCAGAGCCAAGAAGCAGCAACTGGTCCAATGCACACTATCACCTTACTGGGAAAGGGGGAACTCAGGCAATGCTTTGTGAAGAAGGTCCAGCTAGCAACATACACATGAACTGTGACCACAGAAATATCTGTAGGAGCTGATCTCACTGATATTCCCCATGTTAACAGCTGAGCTGACATTAATTAGAAACATTTTTACCCTTTTCTAATCTCTAATAGGTCATCTAATCCATGCCAACTGAATTGCAGGGTTTTTCAGAAAAACAGATTGTCAAAAGCTCTTTTGTCTACTGGAGAGGTTTGAATAATTGGACATTTCTACTGGAAAATTAATCTCTGATCTAATAGACAGCACATAGCTGAGATTTTCCTCAGTGTTCATTTCTGCCCAGACAAGTAAGCACCATGCTGTATTCTCCACAAACAAAATGTCCATCCAAGAAAAAGAGGTTACTGCACTCAGGACAGTACTCAGAATCTTGATATGCCACCAACTATGCATGACAAATGCTGGAGAGGAGCAAAGCCTACAGGAAGAAAAGAGTGTGCATGCTCTGGAGAGGCAGAAGGGTCCCAGCCCACAATATGTGATCCAAGTTTTCTCAGCATTTCTGCCTTTTTGGATGGGAGTTTGTGTCTGTGTGCATTTCTGTGAAAGAGACAAGGAGGAAGGGAGGGAGCCTTTTCTTTGTTCCCAAACAAAATCTCAGCCCATCTCAGGCTCACACACCAACATCTAAAAACCAAAGACAAACAAAATCACAGCTCCACAATGCTTAAGCTTGATTGAATGACGACAATTCCACGTTAAAATAAAAAATAACATCAGAGCTTTCCACAGCTGCATCAACATTATCTATTAAAAAAAAGCATGACACTACATGAAGCTTTGGCTGTGCAAGCCAAGAACCCAAATCAGCCATGGTTTGGAACAAGGCCATTGCTGAATTCTTGTGTAAAGTGATGCTGCCATATTGCTTACTTTCCACTGAGGTTTTCCACAAATTAACAGCTGTAGCAGACTCCCAGAAAACAGCAATTCTTTCCAAGTCTTTCTTCTCTGAAAATGTTGTTTCTTCACTTTATTCTTCCCCATATGGAAGGGGAGAGGAGGGTAAAAAAAACTCAACAGCCCTATGAAACAAACCCAAAAAAGCTCCAGACAGACTGTGAGAAAAATTAATCGCAAAGATTGCCTGGAAAGAGAGCGGTTATCTGTAAAATTAAACCAGTGGTGGGCCCAATTTTTCTTTTTATTATACCAGCATGGTGGGATTGAGAATCAAAACCAGGAAAAATATTTCTGGAGCAGCCCTTCTGATTTATGACCATCTCAGCCACTCTGACAAGATCAGAAAACTGCTGGATTCTTTCCAGTTGAGCACCACCAAAGGCCAAATCATTCCTATTTAGGGAAAAACAAAACTTCCCTCTGCTTCAGCGAGAATAGTGTTTGGCACCAAGCACAGAGAAAACCGCCTTGTTTCAGCTGGCTGGCTGAAGTGCAGCTGAGATGGAAAGGTGATACCAGGCTGGTGTGGGTGGCTTCAGATCATACTCTTTCCTCCTGATTGCATCTTGGACATCACTAGGTCCCACACAGGGTGATGCAGAGGGATTCATTATAAATGACAGAAAAACCTCTTAAAGCAAAAGTTATTTGATTTCTAGCATGCACAGATGGCTGTTGACTCACTTGTGAGAGGAGTGATGGAACTAACAGTCTGGCAGAAGCATTGGGCCTCACAGCATTAGAAAATATGGATTCACAGAGCTGGTTGACTTCTGAAGATCTGTGACCTATGGTGTCATAAAAGGCGATCCTTATGCCTAGAGAAGGGGTTTTCCAGCTGGTGGAGCCCTGGGTTTTGCCTCTTTGTGCCAACCAGAATGATGCAAAGATGTGGGTTGCCATGGGTTCTTGGGTGTGCCCGCTGACAGCAACACAGGATGCTTTGCATGAACAGCAGCACAGGGTGATCCAGGGCACCTGGTGCTGTGCTCTTCAGAGCCTCCTGACCCCAGGGTCACCTCTGTGGATCTATGCTACTGACAGACACTTCAAAACCTCTGCGAAAGGCCCTCCATTTTGGGGAGGGCTTGGGAGGGTGATAGCACTGTGAGCTATCATGGAGAGAAGCGTAGAACCTTGGAAAGCCAACTGAGATGAGCCTGGACCACTGGTTGATGCTGGTACTGACTCCTAGGTGACTTACCCTGTGTGTCAGAGGCAGTAGCAACCCCAAGCCCAAGGGCCATCACGGGGCTGTGCTGGCTCCTCTTCCCCATCTGCTGCTGGCACGCTCTGCAGGTCGCAGGAGCCACTCATCGCAGTCAGGAAACAGCTACCGCAGAGCCAAACTTCCTAATTCCAGCCAGCGCAGGATGTGATGGCTTTGGGTCAAATGGCAAACTGCACCACATGGCAACTCTTCCAAGTGCACAGCTATCTCATCTTGCTGCCAGTCCCCTGCCCTGAGAAGTCTTCCTTGTCCCTGTTTTGCTCATCTTGGCATCTGAAGACTTGCATATTATACTTCTGATGCAGACTGTGTACAAAAGAAGCTATCAAAAGCCAGTTCTCTATTCAGGGAAATCTCTCTTCAGATAAATTTTTTCCAAAGTCTGAAATTAATCAGCCTGCTGGAGCACAGGATGCTGCTTCAGCTTCAAGTTCAGAAGCCTCTGCAGTCCAGGTTGCTACTGACACCGTTCCTCAGATTTTCATGTCCATCTCACACCTCTGTGATCCCACTGTGTTGTCCAGGTCTCATGTGATCAGTGCTCACTTCACACAACAAGCTCGAAAAATAAATATATCTGTCTTATCTTTCAAGTATAGCCACTGGCTATGAGTTCCCAAAAACACCCCAAAACTAAAAACTGACACAAACCTACAAGTAATGCTGGAGAACAAAGGACCTGATAATTTCTTCTGAACCAGATTTAAAAAAAAAAACATTAAAATATCCCTTTACTAGTGAGGGGTTATGTCCTCAGTACACTCCCAAGCCTCAGAGATGTTCTGTCATACTGTTCACTAATTGTTTTCAGTGTTTGATGTGAGTATTTTTGGCAGCCAGTTTGTCATGAATTGACACTTATTTTGTCAACCTATCTTCGGCAAAACTGCACACCCTCCCTCCTCATAGACCTGTCAGAAACATAAAGATTACTCATTGCATATTTCTAAGAAGCTCCTGAAGCCAGCACTTGGAGTTTGCATAACAACCATTGTCGACAATCCACCTACAGCAGCTTAAAAATACAGATTTGAATGGGTGAAGAGAGGCTGGGAGTTCTCAGAAGGACAAGTCAGATTCAGGATTTTATTAATAGAACTGGAGGTGTTCTCATGAAGGCAAAAAAAAAAAAAAAACCCCAAAACCCACTCTCTTGTTATCTTAGCTGTCATCAGCAGTCACCTTTTCAAAAACAGGCAGGCAAGATGCAGAGTATTCCTGTAGATGAGCAAACAGAAAGCTGCTGCAGAAAAACATTGAGAGCAAGATGAAGAGCAGCAAACACCATGGATCCTCTCCCAGGTCCTCCCTGGGAAGTGCTTTATGTCCACTGGCATTGCTGAAGGGAGTTAATTAATTTTTTTTTTTAGTCTGGTGCTACACATGGAGGGTTAAATGCCAAACAAAGGGAACCCACCAGAAAAACACTCACAAAGCTGTTTGTGGCATGGGCTCCAGCTCTCTCTCCAGCAAAATAAAGCAATTCTATTCACTGGAGTGCACAGCAGGCACTCACCAGAGCAGCAGATGAATTGATGCAGATCAGCAGCGGGTGTTGGTGAGGGCAGGGAGGAGCAGGGCACAGGATAGGGAGGATGATGGGTGGCTGGCTGCATTTCTGCCATGCTGCATTTCTGCCATGCTGCCGCAGCAGCAGCCTGGCCAGCCCTGCCTCCAGAGCTCTGCAAGGGACAGTGTGGAAACCTGGCCACCTCCTAACCCGGGGCTTGCTCCTGGACCGTGACAAACTGCAGCACAGCAGAGAAGGTGCTGCCCTGCCTGAAGGGTTTCCCATGTGCTTATGCCACCTTCTCTCAGGTCTTGGAGAAAAGGAGGGACATTGGGGGTGGCCACGAGAGTGGCAGGAGAGCCCAGGGAACAACAGCGACATCAGAGGCATCATCCAGCCGCGTTAAAAACCTCTGCTCCGAAAAAAGTCAACACTCACAGTCTTTTCCGAGCCAAATCCCCAGCCTGTTAGGTTCACCATTAACAATAATCCCTGCAACTTTCTCAGCCTTGCTGTTTACACAAGCTAGAGCTTTCATACATAAAACTCTTAAATGAAAACATTAAAGAGCAGCTGGCGCCTCTTGGAAAACTCATAAAAAGTCTGTTTCCAAACAGTGTTGCTTCTATACCATAAATTTCTATATTTCTCACTCCCCCCATTCCTTATTTCTAAAGACATTTGCATGAAAACAGGAACTTTGTTTATTAAAGAGTTCATCTGCTCCTGCTGTTAATTTTCCACCTGAAGCCAGAATCCCCCGGGTATGACATCATTAGCACAGCTCTGGAAATGATCATGAAGTCACAAACAGAGAGTTAGGGCTCCACTCAGAGAATAAACAGAAGATAGAACCTCTGCCACTGCCAAACCCCAGATCCTTATCCAGTTTTTCCTGGAGCGACATCCCATTGACTTCAGTGGGACATTGACCAAAATAAGGCTGTCAGCAATTCCAGTTTCAACCATTCCTCCCTTCCTGTTCCTGCCTCCCGAGCATGAGGGATTTGCCCTGTGCAGCAGGTCTGGGTCAGGAGAAGCCCTGCCCTGGCACGATGCTGGTCCTCACAATGCTCCCTGCAGGCAGGGGCACTCCAAGGGGAGCACCACCTCATCCCTCTGTAACTTTCTGTGAGCGTTCCCTTTTCCGGCTACGCACCATGACACGTCCTGCTTGCATGAAGCCCACATGGGCATCTCATGCAGTCCAGAAGAGCAGCTGCTGGGATGTAGGAGAGCAGAAGGGAGCCCCGCTGCAGCTGCACATGGGGCTGGCTGTGGGGGAGAGGGGCTGCCCCATGCACAGCCATAGACAGGAACAGCTGTCTAACAGTGCTGGAGCCTGGGGATGACTAAGGGCACCTGCAGATCAAGAATAAATACATTTAGAGGGAGACCTATAGGAGGAAGAGATATGGTTCATGTGCAGAGGCAGAAAAAAGAAACACAGGAGCTAATATGTCTCCTTGTGTGAGGATGGGAAGACAAAGTAAGGATGCCTTTTATTAGAACAGAACCAGCAATACTAATCAAATCTACATTTTCACCTTGTGCTCCACAAAAAGCACAAGAAAATGACTGTGAGCTTAGAGAGCTCATTAAACCTCTTTTCACATACAAAATCTCTGACACATTCGAAGCCCTTCCTTCCCATCACCAGGCAAGCACAGCTTGTATGTAATTGCTCAGGCCAAACAATGCTCGTTTTTAATCTGACACCTATGCATGCAAGTGGCATATTTGTCATGCGATGGCTCTCTGCATGAAGCATGACGTATCTGTGATGGGTCTCTGCATGAGTGTCACAATGCTGGGTTGCTGCAGCAGCAAATAGAATCTGGCTCCACACAGCCAGCACTCTCCATCCAGCAGCCTGTGGTGAGCAGGCTGCTTGTTTCCCTGCCTCCCCACCCTGGGCCACGTCAGCAGCTAGTCTGGCTGCTCAATACTGCTGTCATGGAGCAGACACCTGAGCATAGAGGTCTGAAAATCTATGTACCTGTGAGGATGGGATGTGGCTGAGTGGGACAGAGACAGTCTGGTTTGAAACAAGGTTATTAATATTGCATGGGGAAGGTGGAGGCAGAATTTGGGATTGATCAGATATAGTCCTTAAAGGATTTCTTCAGTTTATCCTTGTACTCTAAGGTTTAAAACCTTTGCATACATATTGCTACATCTTTATTCAGTGCTGGAATCCTGAACAGTGTTTCAGAAATATTGACTATTTGTTGAATATGAGCAGGCAATATTTAGTATAGCAGAGGGGAAAGGAAAACAAAAATATACATATTTACTCTTGCAAATAAAGCCTAAGTTTTTCCCTCAGTGAAATCACTGTGATTTGATTGATCACCACAAAACTGCTGCATGATGGCAATGCTCTGTTTTCATGACCTGATTTGGGCTTGGCTGCTGGGAGACACTGTCTGGGGGAGAGCGAGCCAACGAGTGCTCCTGCATGGCAAGGCATGACCAGCACGTGCCTCTCCTCCCTTGGCTCTGCCACCAGGTCCCACTCCCCCAGCTCCCTCCAGAACAGCCCATAGGCACCACAGCCTCCTATTTCCTTCAGTTTGGTCTATTGTTATTGCAAGTCCAAGTGTTTTCCTTGGCATGGGCCAGTAGTCCCATAGCACTGTACTTCCTCCACACAGAATAAGTGTTATTTAACAGCTCTGATTATTTTGGAGAGTTGTTCAGCCTCGTTTTTGAAAAAAAATGAAAATACATTGAAACTGATTGTATTGGCTGCTCGTGCCTATTTTTTCTGGATGGTACTCACTCTCTTTGTATAAAATGTGGGATGCAGACCCAGGCAACTTTTCAAGAAGGCACACTGCCACTGTCATGTATGCCTTGTTTAAAGGAGTTGTCACCTCTGTCAAGATAAGCACGCAAAAAAGGGAAACGGAGTCAGACTGGGAAGAGGTGTCCAGTCTCTGCTCCTGGTCACCCCAGTACGCACCCAACTGAGTCAATAAGAACTTGGTCCAAAGCAAGTAACAACAGGAAGAGCTGATAAAGCTCCTCTGGGTGCTGTTATTTATCCCCTTAGCATAACTCCTGATAGCATAACTCTAACCTGTCAAAGAAGGGTTGCCCTCATTTCTTGATGTGGATACAGGCAGACAAAGAGTAAATATTTCAGTGCAACCGAAAGTGTCT